GCAATAAAAGCTTAACCATGGGCGCCCGGAAGATCACAACACTATATCAGATGAAATTCTACAGGGAAATGAAATTCTCAGCACCCACTGTAACCAAGATCTGTCAAAGAAATGAAAAGTTTCACTGTTCTTTGACCATCATCAGGATGGAAGCCACACAGATCTCTGGGGAGGGGGGGCTATTCCAGAGGGCAGGTTTCGTAAGAGATGATGAAAATGATGATTTCCAGCCCTGCAAGGTTAGTTACAATTATCATCTCTCATTCTGGAGAGGGAGAGAGAGCGCACGGCAGTGTTGAAGGGTATCTAGTTGGTCAGGTGACTCTAAATCATGCCTGACCCCCGGGGACTACCTGGACAAATGGACACATCCCTCTATCTGTTGCAATGCCAGGATGTTCCCGTTATATTCCCGATAACTTCTTCCCCTTCTACTTCCCTCAACCTTGCCAAGCAGGATCATTTTTTGTAGCCCATGATCTCCTTGCATCACATGCCCAAAGGATGTGAGTTTTTTTTATTTGTCAACCGATACCTCAACGAAACCGTCATATTTTGGCTGGCCCAGCGCCGACTGACGGGTTGTTCGTGAAGTCCGCTGTATTCTTACTATCTCCAAATCTAGAATATGAAGGCATCTACCTTCTTTCTTTTGCTCTTTCTCAATGTCAAAGCAGTAAAATCTTGACATTGACTATCCTGATTTATTTATTAGATTTCCATCCCACTTTTATTCATGCAACTCAAGGTGGCATCCATAATTTTATTTATTTATATATCACATTTATATAGCTGCCCATCTCACACAAAGCGACTCTTCCCTTATTTTCCCCACAACAACAACCCTGTGAGGTGGGTTGGGCTGAGAGAATGAAGGATCAATCAGCTTCTGGGCCTAAGGGAGGACTAGAATTGGTTTTTAGCCCAACACTTAACCACTGCACCAAACTAGCTCTCTGATCTTTGTTGTTTATGAAAAAGATAAGATGTGAACCCTGTAATAGGATTATCAGCCTAAATCCAATTTATGTCACAGGTACTCGATATATATATTTTTTAAAGACAATGGAAAAATCTGCATTGCCGTCACTTGCAACTTTCCTTAAAGTAGGCTTTAAAAAAAGCTTTTTAAAAAACTACCTCTGACATCAGCAGCCTCCACAGGGATGGTCCAAAAAGTCAGGCGGGCACCTGAGACCGCCCCATTGAAGCTCCACCCCCTTTTAATGTGTGACATGCAGAAAGGGGGTGGGGCTTTGCTTGTGTGGTCCAGGTGCCCTTTTGCCTTTTTGGACCACCTTTCTGGACACACCTGTCTAACCTGTTTTTAAAACTAGGTTTTCTCAAATAAATGCTTTTGTGTATAAATTTTTGACTTGACAAATGTTGACAGACCAAATCTTTGCAGCCCATAAAAAACATAAAAGAAAATAAAGATAACAAAGAAAAATAGTGGAGAGGGAAGGAAGGAAGGAAGGAAGGAAGGAAGGAAGGAAGGAAGGAAGGAAGGAAGGAAAAAAAAGGGAAGGGAAAGGAATTATAATCTTCCAATCTTCTTGAGAGCAGTTATACTGTAGATACAGTACAT